TTCACAGTGGACCTGCCCGGCAGCCTGTTCCTGATGGTGAAGGAGGAGGAGGTGGTGGAGCACAGGGTGCTGCTCATGGACATCAACAGGCAGACCATGTTCCAGGTAATGCCCACGGGAATGGCCTGGGTGTGCCGTGGTGCTGGGCTGCAGGGGTGCCACCAGACCACTGGGAGAAGATGCTTCAAAAATGAGCTGAAAGCTTGATGGGTAAAGTCGGGATCTTTAAAATGAGCACTCTCCTCTGCTTCACACCTGGCTGCTCTCCCTTCCCACACTGCCACTGCCTCCTCTTCACCAGGATGAAAACAGCAGCCAGGTCCTGGGTGACAAGGTAGTCAGCATCTCCCTGGTGGACACAGTGGTGGCCAACCTCTCCGAGCCCGTGGTCCTCACCTTCTTCCACGACCAGCTGCCGGTAGGTGGGGGCCCATGGAACCTGATCCCACCAGGAATGCAGGGGAAGGAGGGCTCAGCCCCTGCCAGCTCAGGGTGGGTCACAATCCAGCAGGTCCATGCCCATGGCCTGCCTGGGCAGCGTTGCTGTGTCTTCTGGGGCTGTATCACAGTCATGGCTTCACTGCGTGGTGGCACTGCCCTCCCCTCTCCAGGAGATGCCTCATGGCAGGTGTGTCACATCCAGCACTGTCACCAGGGCTGGGGCACACTGTGTTAGCAGGCCCTTGGCTCATTCATGGCTCTGTCAGGTGCCTGCTCAAAGCTGAACACTTTGTCTGGAAAAGAGGATCTGGAAGGAGGTTTCTGCTCCAGCTGTTGTTAACAGAGTGGTCTCTGCCTGGAGCCCACTCCCACCACAGGGGCAGTCTGGTTTATCCAAGTTGTATTTTGTCTCCTGAGACCATCTTGTCTCCTGCCCCGTGTTGTCCCCCATCAAAAGTGCTGGGCAGGCACAAAGCCACAGCTGCATCCTGACCAGGGCCTGTGGTTTTGTCCTTGCAGAGGAACGTGACCCCGCTGTGCGTCTTCTGGCAGGAGGACACCTCTGGTGAGTGCCCCTGCCCTTGGCAGTGAAGGCAGGCCCTTGTTCCAAGGTACCACAGCCCCACCAGCAGGGTGAAGGCTGCTCTGCACCTCCCTTCCTCCCTCCATCTCTCTAAGCCCTTCCCACAGGGCTGATGTCATTTTTTTCCCCTCCAGAGCTACCCTAAGAGCTTTCCCCTTCCCTAGGGATGGGTTCCAGTGCTGAGGGGGCTATGTGTGTATATGTGCTTGGCCTGGGACAAGCTGGGACCTCCCACTCTTGTTCTCCCTCTTTCCATGGACACCTTGCCCTGAAGATCCTTTAGCCCAAGGCAGATGTTCCTGCTGCTCACCAGATGCTCTCCCTTTCTCCTGCACAGCCAGTTCTGGGAGCTGGGACAGCTATGGGTGTACCACGGTGCCAGGGGGCAGCCAGACAGAGTGCAGGTGCAACCACCTCACCTACTTTGCTGTGCTCATGGTGGGTAGCACCCTCCCTCAGACCCCTCACATAATTCCCAGTGGTGCTCTTCCTCACCATCTCTCGTTGCTCCTCCTCCTCAGGTTTCCTCCCCAGAGATCACCTCTGTGCACAGGAATTACCTGAGTATCATAAGCTACGTTGGCTGCCTGATCTCAGCTTTGGCATCCATTTGCACCATTTTCTTCCTCTACTTCAGGTACAGTCTGGTGGCTCACCCCACGCTCCCTGTCTGTGTCCTGGCCCTGGCCATGAACACCTGGGTGGGCACAAGCTCTCCAAGCACTTGGTGGCCTGGATAGAAGCATCATGAAGGAGCCTTCTCCGAAGAAAGCAGAGTTTTCCTGTCCAGGGTCCATCCTCTTGGTCAGGTCTCCTGCAGGGTGCTCAGAAACACCAGATCTTCTAAATTATTTTGGAAAATCTTAATTGTTGTGGATGCAGCAAGCAGAAGTCTGCAAAGATCTTTCCAAGGACCTGGAGGAGAACATGAGTGTCTTCTCCTGAGTCATGTCACTGATCCGAAGTGGACGATTCAGACCTGAAATCTTAGAATCATAAAAATATAGAATGTTTTGGGTTGGAAGGGATTGAAAGATCATTAATTTCCAATCCCCCTGCCATAGGCAGTGATACCTTCCACTACACCAGGTTGCTCAGAACTCCATGCAACCTGGTCTTGCCCCATCCATTCCAGGGATGGGGCATCCACAACTTCTCTTGGCAACCTGTGCCAGGGCCTCACCACCCTCACAGGGAAGAATTTATTCTGAAATTCTAAACTAAACCTGCTCTCACATTGAAGCCATTCCCCCTTGTCCTGTCCCCATGCCCTTGTTCAAAGTCCCTTTCCAGCTCTCTTTAGGCACTGGAAGGTGCTTTAAGGTCTCCCTGGAGCCTTCTCCAGGCTGCACAAGCCAAACTCAGTCAGCCTGTCTCCACAGGAAAAGTGCTCCAGCCCTCTGAGCATCCTCAGTGCAGGGTCAGCTGCGGGGGCTGGATTTGCACGTGGGATGGGTGATCCCAACTCTGGGCTTGGTCTCTCAGTCCCTGGCACTACCAAAGAGTCTCCTTGCCCTTCTGCTGGGGCAAGGTGCCCCACGCAGGGCTGTGGGGTGCTGTGGGGTGCTGTGGGGTGTGTGCTGGCCAGGCACGGGGGTGAGTTCTGCTCCCTTTGGTTCTGCAGAAGCAAACAGCGAGACCAGATCACGAGCATGCACATCCACATGAACCTGCTGGCTGCCATCTTCCTCCTGGACGTCACCTTCCTCATCTCCGAGCACCTGGCTGCCAGCAGCGAGGCCATCTGCAGAGCTGGGGGGCTGTTCCTGCACTTCTCCCTCCTGAGCTGCCTCACCTGGATGGGCATTGAGGGCTACAACCTCTACCGGCTCGTGATCGAAGTCTTCAACGCCTACCACGACCACTTCCTCCTCAAGCTCTTTCTGGCTGGCTGGGGTGAGCATGGGGGAGGCAGAGGCACCCTGAGGGCACGGCGTGGAGGGGCACTCGAGTTGGTCTTTCCCGTGGGATGCAATGCCTGGATGGGGATGGAGACACAGCTGTGGGGGAGCAGCTGTCTGTCAGGAGCCTTGGGAGGAGGAGGCTTGAAGGCTGGGAGCAGAAGCTGGTGCTAAAGCAAGGGGGGGTCATGCTGGGGGATCACCCAGCAATGGAGACCTGGGAGAGTCACCACTTGGGATCTTTAAATAGTAATAGGATCCCTTCTTTCTAAAGAACCATCCAGGACTGCCCAGGGCTGGATGCAGGAGGTGTCCATGCTTCTCTGCCATGCTCTGGGCTGGAGGTCATGGCAGGAAGATCTTGTGATCTTTTATGGCCTAAAGCTCCACATGCCTGGGAGGTCCCCAGCTGGGGTGAGCACAGCACTGCTCCCTCCCAGGCTGGGGCTCCTGCCAGGTGCCCTTGCTGTGTGTGTTCCACCCCTGGTTTCCCTTTGGGAGCGAGGATGTCCTTGTGCTCTGTGCAGGGAGAAAGGCCCAACAAGTCCTTCCAGAAGGTCCAAAGGCCGGGGAGTAGGGCAGCCACTTCACTCTGCTCCTTCCCCCAGGGCTCCCGCTCTGCTGCGTGATGACGATCTTCCTCTTTAGCTGGTCCAACTATGGCCCCGTCTCCATTCCCATCTATGAGTCCATGGATGGCAGAACCACCAACGCAACCATGTAAGTCATGGCAGATGGCTGAACCTTCACCATGCCAGGGCTTTTCTGGGCTGTTGTGCCAGGGGGATCCCCCTCCCTGGCGCTGGGCTGGCACCACACCTCTGTGCTTCTCCCAGCCCCTCCTCCTGACCCTGTGGGAGGACACAGTGTCACCCTCTGCCCTTTCTCCTCCCTCCAGATGCTGGATCACGAGCCCCCTGCTCCATAACACCGTGAACCTGGGTTTCTTCAGCCTGGTGTTCCTCTTTAACTCGGTCATGCTGGGGGCCATGGTGCGGGAGATCCTCCGGCAGAACAAAAAGGGTCACAAGCTCAAGCATGTCCTGGCCCTCTTTGGGCTGAGCATCCTGCTGGGCATCCCCTGGGCACTGATCTTCTTCTCCTTCACCTCTGGTGTGTTCTGCCTTGTCTCCCTCTACATCTTCACCATCATCAACTCCCTCCAAGGTGAGCCTGTGACTCTGGGCTCCTCCAAAGAGCACCAGGATTTTCAGGGGTGTTGGTGTGCAAGACGAGCTCTGGCAGGCTGGGTGGCTCGCTCTCAACTGTGGTTTGTGCCTCGAGGGGGCTTACCCACGCTTCCTCTCCCCTCTGCCAGGTTTCCTCATCTTCCTCTGGTACTGGACCATGGTGCTGCAGGCGAGGAAGTCCCCTGACTCTCAGAGCAGCTCTGACAGTGCCAAGCTGCAGCCCAGCAGCAGCTGAGCCCCGTGGTGGCCGTGCTGTGCCAGAGCTCCCCGTGCCAAGGACGGCCACAAGAAGGACCACACCATCTGCTTTGCTACTTCACTTGCCCTGTAGTGCCACAGGGAGCCCAGGGACCCACAGTGGGGCCAGCCACCCCCCCTCTGCTGGCCCCCTCCTCAATTTTCTCATCCTGACTGGCTTGGCACTCTTGGGGCAGGAGGGAAGGAGGGAGGGATGCTTACTTGGGCAGTGGGGCTGTAAAAAGTGGAAGGGGCAGGGACAGGGTCCCCAGTGCTTTTGGATGTCCCCTCCCATGTCCTGAGGACAGGAGTGATGGGTGGGAAGGGCCCAGTTTTCAGCCCTTGCTGATGGTCCTTCCCCAGGGAAGAATGACTCTGCCCCACTCTCAGGCAGCTGAAATAATCTATTTTTGTTATTCTGTTGAATGTCTACTATGGGTGATGTAGGAGTTCAGTGAGCATGCCTGCACACCCACTGTGCTCATTAAAGTTGTTTCTCTCAGAGTGTGGCTCACTGGGGTCTCTGCTCGGTGTGTGGGTGGCCTTTTCTCATCTGGGTTATCCCATCTCTGGGGCAGGGCCCAGCATTCACCCTGTAGGATCCTGCTGAGGACAGTGGGACCCTAAAGGTGCTCCTGGCAGAGCACTGGCTGCCTGGTGCCATTGGGGTTGGGGTTGTGGAGGGAGGTGCCATGGCTTGGGAAGGCTCTGGGGACTGTCACTACCCAGCACAAAGGGACGCTGGTGGAGGACAGGGATCCAAAGAGGGAGACATCAAAAGATGGGAATCATCCCCTCAGTGCCTGTGGGGCCAGGCAGAATCTGGCTGTCCTGGCTGTGCCTCTTGCAAACCACATTTCCCATCCCACCATCCCCTTCCAGTTTGTGGTGGATCATCTTCCTCCTCCCAGCTGGGGCAGGGGCACCTTGCCAGCAAGGGGATGTTTCACCTGGAGGCTTGTAGCGGTGCCCAGTTTAGCACAAGGATGCTCCAGCACTCACTGGGCTGGGTGGGGCCATCACTCCCTCGGTGGAGTGCGGGAGAAAGGGAAAGCAAGGAGCCCTGGGTCGGCCAGGAAGGAAAGGCTGCAGCCCCGACGGTTGGTGCCGTTGTGTGAGCTGGGACAGGAGGTCACTGGCCAGCCCACAGGAAGGCGTGAGGGGCTCCCGTGACGGAAATGAAGAACGGCTCTTGCCTCAGAAGTGGCCACAAGCCCTGGGGGAACCTGGGGAGGAGCAGAGCTGCTGGGACAAGGGGAGCAGAGCCTGGTGGGATGGCCAGGGGCAGCCAGGAGGCCCCACAAAGTGGCATGAACTGGTTCCTGGGCACTGTCCTGCTGCTCCTGCTGCTGCCTGGTGAGTGGCTTCCTTGGCACAGGGGGTGCATGGGTTTTGTGGGAAGGTTTTCCCATGGGAAGGTGTTCACCAAAAGACCAAGTGGAGATTTCATCCTGAAATGTGGACAGGCCAGAGGGGAGCATTCCCACTGGGATGTGCAGAGGTGAGCAGAGTTGGGGGCTTTGTTGCTGGGGGCTTTTTTACAACCTGGGATCAGCAGTGCAGGGTCTCCTTTGCGAGCCCCTCAGGCAGGCTGGACACGCTGGTTTTGCCCTCACCAGCTCTGATCCCTGTCCAGGTGCTTTTGAAGCCCACGTAACTGCAGGACTGTTCCTTCAAAACCTGGCAGCTGCCAGACTCTCCTGCCTTCTCCTCCCCTTTCCCTCTGGACAGAGGGAGGGCTTACCCTATATTTTGGTGTTTTCCCCCTTTTCTCCATGTCCCCCTGTTCCAGATGTTGCCGCAGGACAGGACAGCTGCTCCGGTGAGTGTCCCCTGCCATTCCCACCCTTGCTCCCAGCGCCCGCCCAGTGCTGCGGTGCCCGTGCTCACCTGCTCCCACCCTCCCCAGACCTTCATCGGGGTGACCAGCACCGGGAGTGCTGCAGCGTGGCGCTGGAGCAGCAGAGCCCAGGCAGCAGCACCCGTGTGCTCCGCTTGTCCCAGCACTGCCCGGAGCTGTGGCGCTCGCAGAGCCGCGCCTGCGCCTGCCTCAGGGAGCGCTGGCTCAGGTAGTGGCAGGGCTGCCCACGGCAGGGTTTGTGGGCCCAGTGCCCGTGTCCCCGTGTGCCACAGCCCCCCTGTCCCACAGGCTGCTGCAGTCGGGGCGGCACGGCTGGCTGGCGGGGCTCAAGGCGCTGATCCTCAATGTCAGCAGGGCTGTCACCCGTGATGTCCTCGTCACCTTCTCCCCCACAGAGGTGAGATGTGCCCCTCCCTCTCCCTTGCTTGGAAGGTCCCACACTTTCCAAGCACCCCTCAGACCCCACCCCAGGGCTTGGTGTGCCCTGCTGTGCTCTTCCTCCTCCCTGTGGGGTTGCATCATGGGCCCACACCAACTTCAACATCCCTTGGCAAGGAGTCACGTGAAGTGGTGCTTGGGAGGAAAGAGCCCTCCCCAGGGAGCCATGCCAGCAGACCAGGTGGTCAGGGGAATGTGAGGTAGGAAAGGAGGAGAGACAGGCGTGACCTGGTGCCTCCTGCCCACCCAGAGGCTCTCCCAGGCTCTGGATGTCCCAGGGGACCGTGTGTGGGTGATGGTGGGTAGAGAATCTGCTGGGTCTCACTCCCAGCTCTGTCCCCACAGATGCTGTGTGCTGGGGGTGGTTCTTTCCTTCTGCCCTCGGGGCTCCTGCTGATGTTGCTGAGCAAACCCACCTGGGCAGGGCTGAATTCGTGCCTGGAGCAGGATTGGTGGGTCCTGAAAGGAGCTGTGACCCAGCAGCAACAACCTCTCACTGTTGTTCTCTGCTGCAGGGCCCCAGCAGGCTGAACAGCACAGAGAAAGGGAAGGCAGGTAAAATCCACCTCCCCAGGGAGATATTCCGGTCCCTGAGCAGCCAAACAGTGCGCGTGGTGGTGACAGTCCTCAACATCCAGCAGCTTGGCATCTTCAAGGTACAGGCTGGCATTGCCAGCGTCCCCCAGCCCCTGCTGGCCACCAGCTCAGCTCTGGCAGCGTGTCCCCTCCACAGGAGGTCAACCAGACAGCGCAGGTCTTGGACAACACCGTGGTGGGCATCGCAGTGGGAGAGAGCAGCATCTCGGGGCTGCAGGACCCCGTGCAGCTCACCTTCACCCACACGGAGCTGCCCCAGGTAAGCCAGCCCTGCCTGCCCTCCCCTGCCCTCCCGTGCCCCTCCCCGGGGCAGGGCTGATGCTGCTGTCCCCCATGCAGGGTGTCACCCCTCAATGCGTCTTCTGGGATCCCAGCAGAGGTGGGCGCTGCTCGGGCAGGTGCGGGGCGGGGCAGGGGCGCTGAACGGCGCTCACAGCGCTCCCCCGTGCCTGTTGCAGGGCAGGCAGGAGGCTGGAGCGGCAGCGGATGTGTCACACAGCCTGGGGACGAGGGGACAGTCTGCTCCTGTGACCATCTCACCTTCTTCACCCTCCTTCTGGTGATAATCCCACTCCCTGCAGCTCCTGCTTGTGCCCTGGCAGTGCTGCCTGCCCACTTTTGTGGCCCCTGGGGTGTCAGGAGTAGCCACACAGGGACAATTATAGCCAACGTCCCAAAACCAAGCCCAGCCCCAGCTCAGGAGGACAACAGCAGCTCAGCTGAGCAGGGCAGGCTGGAAAAGGCCCCAGCTTTGTGCAGGCTCTGGCAGAGTAAGGCTTGAGCTCCCAGATCCTGGTGGAGACTCCCAGGAGGGTGCTGATGGTGATTCACTTCACCCACACCTCAGCCCACCTCAGAGCATCTCTGAGCCACCACTGCCCTGCTTCCCCTGAGGATCTGGGGGCTGGTGTGGGGTCCCTGCAGCAGCCTTGGGGCTCTGCCCAAGGCTCTGCTACCTGCAGTCAGGTTTTCTGGGCTGCTCCAGGGCCTGTCTAACCCAACACCTGCATGTTTGGCAGAACCCAGCTCTGGATGGCTCCACAGCAAAAGCTGTGATGGCTGTTGCCACCGCTGGCTGTGGGGTTGCCGTGGCTTTCTCCATCTTCACCATGGCCTTCTGCATCTTCATAAGGTGGGATGAGCCAGCAGCTCCAGGGGGGCTTGCCAGGCTGGGAGAGACATGAGGCAGTGCCAGTGGCTCTGCGTGGAGCTGCTGTGCTACAGCCCAGGGCCTGCTCAGCCGTGGCCCTGCCTTTCCTGGTCCCTGTGGGGACCTGCAGGTGCAGGTTCAGGTTTGAGGACACCGTCCGCACCAACCTGGGGCTGCACCTCAACCTCGTGGGCAGCCTGCTCCTGCTCAACCTGGCCTTCCTGCTCAACAGTGGGCTCTCTGGCAGGACCCACCCCAGCACCTGCGGGGTCCTGGGGGGGCTCACCCACTACTGCCTGCTCTGCTGCTTCACCTGGACGGCGCTGGAGGGCTGTCAGCTCTACCTGCTCTTTGTCAAGGTGCTCGGCATCTACATCCACCACTACCTGGCAAAGCTGTGCCTGGTTGGCTGGGGTGAGCAGCCTGGATGAGAGATGGGGGGTGAGAAGGGCAGTGGGAGGTTTGGATTGGATGCTGGGGGAAATTCTTCACTGAAGGGGTGGTTAGGTACTGGAACAGGCTGCCCCAGGCAGTGGTGGAGTTACCATCCCTGGAAGTGTTCAAAAGATGTGTGGATGTGGCACTTGGGGACATAGCTTAGTGGTGAATGTGGCAGTGCTGAGTTAATGGCTGGACTTGATGCTCTTAGAGGTCTTTTCCAGCCTAATCAATTCTGTGTTTGTCTCTCCCTTCCTCCAGGCTTCCCTGCTCTCGTGGTGGGAGTGGCAGGAGCTATTGGCAGCTATGGAGAGTACAGCATCCAGACCATGGACCAGCAGGTCATAGCCCACCTGTGCGTATGCCACTGCCCACAGGGCTCGGGTGGCCCTTTGGCACAGGGAGGGGCAGCTCAGTCCTGCCAGGATTGCACCCATCTGGTTTGGCTTTGTGCCATGCTTCTGCTTCTGCTTCCTTAACTGTGATTGCCACACACCAGCCACCCCAGCTCTCATGCTGAGCCTCCTCAGTCATACCTGCAGCCCTCCAGGTCATGGAGGGATGTCCAGGGTCCACCTGGAGCTTGTCCAGGCTCCCTCCCAGCTGAACAACACGAGGGCAGTGGACACCCACCACTGCTCCCCCTGCTCCACCCTGGCTTTGGAAAATCCCACCAGGGGAAGGCTCCCAGGGGTGCTGCTGAGGCTTGCAGGGCTGCTGGGGGCACCATGGTTGTCTCTTTTCAGGTGCTGGATCACTTCCAAACATCTTCTGGTCCACTACATCACCAACTGTGGCTACTTTGGCCTCATCTTCCTCTTCAACATGGCTGTCTTCGGGGTGGCAGCCCAGAAGAGCTGCAGCTTGCAGGGCACTGGGGCAGTGCAGGGAAACCGTAAGCCCTGGAAGGTGGCTCTGGTGGCAGCAGGGCTCTTCTGCCTGCTGGGAGCCACTTGGGCCCTGGCATTCCTCACCTATGGCATCTCCTCTGCAGCTGTGCTCTACCTCTTCACCGTCCTCAACTCTCTCCAAGGTCAGCACTCACCCTCAGCTGGGCTCCCTGGGCTTGGGTGGGGAAGATGGAGGAGGCAGAAGCCAGCCTGGCTGTGGGTTGCCCAGGGGTCCCAAGGCTCCAGTGTCTTCCCAGCACTGTCATACCCTTCCTTTTGTCAGGGCACATCAAGCAGCAGGTCCCAACCACCAGCACGGAGCTGCTCATGGCTCCCAGTCACATCCACTCCGCCTGTGGTGGTTTTCCTTCAAGAAAGACATTCTCTAGCAGAGGACTAGGGACATTATCCACTCCCAGACAAATGGTTCATGGGAAGGAGGCGGGGAGGCAGGACTGAGCTGAGGGAATCCCCTGGAAGTGGAAGGAAAGTGTCATTAGCATCCTGGCAAGATGTTTCCCATTGTCTCCTGCTGCTGCTGAGTGCTTGTCTTCCTTTCCCTGCAGGAATCTTCATATTCATCTGGCTGGTCGTCCTCTACTACCCAAAGACAAAGGAGACCACTGGTTCCCTCTCCTACATCATCAGACATGACAAAACCACCACAGCCTCCCAGGACTAGCTCCTGGTGGAACTCTCTCCCTGCCTGCACCTGCAGCCACTGAGAGTGATCCTGGCAGATGCAGCTTCCTCACAGAGGGAGGGATCAGCTAGCAGTGCCTCAGTTTACCCTTCAGTGGGCATGATCCACCTCAGCAGGGCTCTTTGCTTTGTCCCTTTCATTCCTGGTGGGCTGCCCTGGGCAAGGAGCTCCAGAGATGGTGATTCTGCAAAGTCCCTCCAGGCTGCAGCTCCATGGTCTTGAGGTGGCCCTGATCTCATTCCCCAGGGGAAAAGGAGGAAGCCCACAAAGCACCTGCCTTCAGCCACGATGGAGCCATCACCCTCTTTGCTAGAGATGGCTTTTGGTGCTGAACCAGGCCAGCAGTGAGTTTCCTGCCACTGGAGGGAGAGGATTGACTTGCTGCAGCCCACATGTGGGAGGTTTGCATCTGGGAATCAGCAAAAAGAAGAGGATACCCATGAGCTTCTTTGCAAAACATCTCCTTGCTCTCTGGCAGAGATCTACTGCATGTCCTTCCTGCCAAACAGCCTCTGGGGCCAGCAGCAATTCCCTCATGGACATGGTGCTCTAGCCAAAATGCACATACAGCTGCCTTGCAGGGCAACTGCTGTCTTCTGATCTGTGTTCTGGTATTAAATCCCTGCCAGCTGTCTGAGCACTGTGAATTTACTCTTTAATACCTACATTATTGTTTGTTATTTGCTTTATATTAGCGATGTATCAATGGGAAAAGTCTTGCTGGCCATTTGCCATGAATGAAAAGAGAAATGTCATGAATGAAGGAAGAAATCACTATGGATGGGTGCACACACACACACACACACACACACGTGTGCATGCACAAAGCAGCCCTTTCTCTGCTAATGCTGCATTTGTGTGGCACAGAACTATGCAAAGACCAGCTTTAGTATCTAGAGTGGGGTACTTCCATCTCCCCAAACACCAGGGTGACTGTGGGGGAGAGGGAAGCAGGAGGAAGGACTCTCCTATCCCTGGGTACATCCTCTGGGTTTAGAGACTATGGGCCACAGGGGAGAAGGTCCAAGAGATGCTACAGGGAACAGAAACACTGTGATGCATCTCATCCTTCAAGCACTGTTTGCATCCAGCCATTACCCCCTTCCCCAAAACACCCAAAAAGACACAGCAAGAGCCTCCCTGCTCCTGTCATGTTTATTGGGAAACAGCTGTTCCTAAACCATTCTCCGCCTCACGCTGACGGCCGCAGCAGCCACGGTGAGCACGGCGAGCACACACAGCAGAATGAGGGCCCTGGAGAGCCACGGGCTGGCTCCTGCCAAAGAGGAGAGACACTGGTTGTGCATCTGGGTCTCCTGAGCCAGCTCTGAGCCTGGTGAGGCATCTCCTGACTGGGGGTAGATTCAGGGAGGTCATCCTGTGACAGGCAGGAGCCACAGGAGCTGGGGGTGCTTTGGGATCCTGAGGGCACTAACAGGACTCAACCACCTCAAATGGCCTCCAGCCACCCCTGCTGCCTACAGCTCACCAGGCATGCCTGCTCTGAGCCGTGCCAAAGGTGGGCTTGCCCCCAGCCCTGCTCCTGGATTGCTGTTTGGATCTCCTGGACTGACCTCAGTGCCAGGAGGACATACGTACCCGCTGGGTCCTGCTGGTCACTGCTGGAACGGTGGATCTCTGCTCCTGAAGGAGCAGCCAGCAGGAGGATGGGCCCGTAGGAGACAATCCTGTTGTAGTCATCTGCCAGTGCCCGCCTGCTCCTCCAGTGCCTCGGGCATTGCTGTCAATGAAGCCAAAGGAAGGGTGATGGGAGAGCAGGGAAGGGTGATGGGAGGGCAGGGAAGGGTGATGGGAGAGCAGGGAAGGGTGATGGGAGAGCAGGGAAGGGCACCCTGCACCTGGGCCATCCTGTAGATCTCCCTTCCTTTCCCAGGGAAGAGGGAAAGGAGGTCTCTGATGGGTTCAGGCCCCAGTACTTTTGGTGCAGGGCACTGGGCTGAGCTCCTGATTCTGGAGGTGTTTATTCTGTGAGGCACCCAAAACCAAAGCAGAGCCAGTGAAGGGAGGTCCCACACCCACCCAGGGCACAGCCCAGCAGGAGAGCTCACCTTGGCACAGGGCTCTGGGCTGTCAGGAACACAGAGCTGCACACGGCAGTGCAGGAACACCTCAGGGTAACCAACAAACTGAAACATCTGGAAGCTGAACTTGGCAGTAGTGCCCTCCCCAATGGCATTCAGATAGGTCACCGTCTCATCATGGGGACACCTGGGACATGGGGGCTGGATCAGTGGGTGGCAAACAAGGTGAGCATCCCAGCCTTGGATAACACATCCCACAGGGAATGGGTGCAGCCCACAGGCCTAACTGAACAGGCCTGTTTCTGTCTGGTCCTTGCCACACAGTGGTGCCAGGACACTGGGTGTGCTGGGGACACTCTGCTCACCCCTGCTCAATGAGCTTGTGCTGTGTGTCCTGCTGCGGGTCCGGGCTCGGCGTGGCCCAGCACTCCAAAACACTCAGCAGGAAGTACTTGAGCTGGTGCTGCCCTTCCATCTTCAGCAGGACATAGAGTGTGTCCGTGAGGGGGACGGCCACACTGGGCAGGTGATAAGGCTCCAGGTAGGAGGGGGACTTGTAGAGTCTCATGCTGACATTGAAGTGTCCTTCTCTGACCACAAGCTGTACCAGCCTGAGAGGAGAGGACAGGATGAGAGCTCACAAACACAAGGAGGTGGGAAGGACATAGCACAGGTGAAGCCACCAGTGCCTGGCATTGCTCTCAGAGCTCTCTAGGGCTCCTTAGGGCCTTTGCAAATTGTCTCACTAAATCTACTTCTCTCCAAGCTCAAAGACACCATGTCAGCAGCCAGTGACATGAGAACTCACTTGTCAACAGCAGTGAGAGCGAAGGGCAGTCTCACAACCTGCTCGTAGGCGTAGATGCAGGAGAAGTGCACCTCCAGCTGAAAACTGCGGGAGATCATGGCCCTGTGGGCCTCCTGCTCCGACTCAATGACGTTGGAGTACGAGACATGGGAGCTGTTTTGCTGGAACAACACAGAAATCAAGATCTTGACTAAAGTCACACACAGAGCTGCAAGTTCAGAAGGCACAACTCAGCTGTAGCTGCTCCAGACCGGGATATCTGCTGGGCTTTCAGATGTGTCTGGGGGCTGCTGGCACAGGAGTCAGCACAGTGGGCACAGGTGAGCACAGGGCTCTTCTGTGCCATGCAGAGCTTGAGCACAACTTCGTTTGTACCCTTGCTGCTCCATGAAGCAAGTCAGGGACCAAGAGGACAGGGCTGCAGGGCTCACAGGATGTCTCCAGAAACATGAGGGCTACCAGTGCACAATGAGACTTCCAAGCTCTCCTAAATAAGACAAAAGCTGCTGCCAGCAGGGGTTTGGCAGAGGCAGAAGAGCTTTCTGACATCCTCAGGGAAGACTTTCAAAGTTAATGAGAACTTTTCAGCATCCAGATATAAAAGCGAAAGCCTTTGGGGTTGCCCTTTGCTGTCCCACCTCATCACGTCTGCTTCTCTCCTGGCTTTGGAGCTATGGAACCTCACCTGGATTACTGATCCACAGGCAGTGTGGTTTTCACCTGTGAGAGTGGCTCCAAAAAACAGCTCACCCTCTTCTTCCTTCTCTGAGACCTTGCATGCCTGGTTCTTCAAGTGGACAAGCTCCAGTGGGATTTTCAAGAGCTCAAACACCTCCTTCCTCACCATCATCTTCATGTGCTCTTCCTCACAGGCCAGCTTCAGTACCACATCTGGGGGAAAAAGCCATCTGCAATAGCCATAAGGGGGAGGCCTGAAGGAGCCCTAGGCCAGCTGGAGGGTGGCACAGTGCCATTGAGCTCAGCAGCCTCTCGTCCCAGCCTAGGTGCAGGCTGTAGGGCTCTTCAGAGACACTGGGCAGAAGACAGGCTGGTCCCTTTTGAGGGCTGTCCACACAACCCCCACAGCGTGTCTAGGGCACCAGAGGGATCCTCTCCTTCAGAGGAAGAAAGAGTTTTTGGCCAGTGTCTGGAAGGGGCTTCACTGTATCTGTGCCAGGGTGCATGTTCTTGTTCTGAATCTGCGAGGCAGCTGTGCCCTGCAGCGTGCCCTGCTACACCATGGCACAGCCATGGAATTAAGGCTTTTGGGGAAGAAGAAAGTGCCTGTGGCTGGGTCTTGTACCAGCACACAGCCAGGATATGGTTGTAGGGGTGCAGAATACACCTGAAGCAGGAGCTGGGATGTGCTGCAGGGTGGAGAGCAATGGTAACACCAGTGCCCTGTGCCCATCACCCTTCCCTCTGCTGCCCATGCACAGACTGGGGAGGGTCACCAGCATTCCCAGCCCTACCTTGGCAGAATTCCCCTGTGAAGCCTGGCTTGCAGCTGCAGACTGGTCTGTCCACAGCCACCTGGCACTGCCCCTGGTGCTGGCACGGGTTTGGCAGGCAGGCATCTGGGCTCCTCTTGGCACGGAGGGCAAGCCCTGGCCTCAGGCCATGGGTGCTGGCCAGCTCACCTGCAGCAAAGGAAAGGCAAGAAAGATGAAATGCAGCAAGAATATCTCTCTGATGAGAGATCTGAGAACTCACCCACAGCAGGAAGCTCTGCAAAGCTCTCAAGGGCTGAGATCCTCACCTAGAGCCAGAGCAGATCCTTCTGAGGAAGAACCTGCTGCCTCAGCTTGCTGGGAGGCTGAGACCTCCTCAGCCTGGCTGTAATCTGAACCAGAGCTAAGGGGCCTGTCACTGTCACCAAGGAGCATGGTGGCACATTGCAGCACCATGGGTTACACACCCTTTGTGGCTGGGGTGGGCAGCCTGCAGTTTCTGCCTGTTTTGCTGGCTCCTGGACCCCAGTTCCTGCCTCTCTGAGCCCTATTCTATTGTTCCTCCTTAGCAGCCCTCAGCAGTGCCCTGAATGAGGAACTTGAACATGGATCAGGTGAAGGTTTGACCTTTCCTTTCCATACCACCCATCCATGGCCCAGCAGGAACAGAGCACAGGGAGACTCACTCTTGTTGCCTTCACAGCCAGCCAGGCAGAGCACAGAGAGCAGCAGCAAACATCTCACAATCCTTTCCTGGAAAAACAAGCAGGCTCTGGATAACTTGGATTTGTTATCATGCTCACTGGAGATGTTTGCAGTCATTCAGAAAGGCTGAATCCTCAAGGATTGGTGCAATAATTTATGTGCTGTATTTCCATGAAGCAAAGTAATTTCCCATCCCAAAGGTCCAAATCAACCTTTCCCTATCAGATTAACACAAGGGTCAAGTACTATCCTGAATTTAGGTAGCTAATCCAGAAAGGAAGTGGGAGAAACCAGCCCTGGGACACACAGGGATGTGCTGACAGTGATAAAGCCACATTTCAGTGGCAATTTGAGTAAAGCTGCACAGTCTGGGCAATTTGAGTAAAGCTGCACAGTCTGGGCTCCCCAAAGAGGAAAGGAGTCACCCTCTTCCCACTACAGCTCTTTTGAAGATTTAGGATTTGCAAAAAGATCCTCATTGAGCCAGTAAATCATAACTATAACATAAGGAGACAACGGGATAATAAAACAAACCCAAAGCCCTGAACACTACTAAAATTAATGTCAAAAAGACAATCCCCTCTGTTGGTACAGATAATGCATTTCTTAAGGGAAATTATTGCTCACCAGATACCCCTTATCAGAGATGTGATGCAGGTTGGCAGGACTGGTGGCT